TGTAAGTAGCATTTTGCCTTAAGGCAAGTTGCATGAACTTCCCGAGATGTATACATACATATTCAACTTAATCAATAAAAATTGAGATTCAGCTATTTAGATAAAATATTCAACTGTTTATTCCATTTTTAATAAAAAAAAAAAAACGTTTCCAATTATCCAACTTATAATATCTGTAATTGTATGCATTAAATTAATTTGTTCGACGCATTTCATTTTATCTATTTCGTGTTCTAAAAATGTGGGAATCAACTGTAATCAGTAGCTATCTATGAAACACAAAACGTATATAATTGAAATAGATTGTGATTAGAATCGCTTAATTGATTTATAAAAAAAAGATAATTCAACCGCTTACCGCAGACCTATAATATTTTAATATGTCATTTTATACTACAAAGTCTGTTATACAAATACAAAGTTTCATAAAAAAAATGTCAAAAAAATTTCAATTACACAATTTCGGTCGCTTTAATCGAAAATCTTGGGTGAAATTTTCATTCTCATCGGTTTTAACATAGTGTAAAATTATATCGAATATTTCTTATAGTTAGCGGTTTGTGGACCACCCTATATTTCGGCAATGACGTTTGTTGAGCTCATGCTTAAAATTTTATCCATGTGATAATAAACGTTTTCTGGCCCCATGTATTATTTCAATGATTCAAATTGCTAGTTGCGATTAAGTACTTAAAACAAGTGGTCGGCCGTTTTGAGTTTTTTTTACGTTAATGAAACGAAATGGTTAAATAATTTTTTTTAATGATTAAATTTGTTTTAAATTATGAAAAAAATAGATTTTTGAGAAATTTTAAATTTGGAAAAAAATGACTTTTTTGGAAACAAAAATTTTTGGATTTTTTTTTATTTTGAAATATTTTGGAAATTTTGAACTTTTTTTCAAAGCAATCGCACTGCTTTAGCTGTATGGAGACGCAATATCGAAGCGCGTAAGCGCCGCGTCGCCGTCTAACGAGCAAACGATGTTACGAGACCCATAGAAATGTAAACAAAATTGATACACATTATTAAAATCTCCAAAAAATATCTGATAATCTGATGTACGTATGGCTAATGACCATTTTTGACCTCAAAATGGCATTTTTTTACTTTTTTTAAGTGAAATGTTTTCTGAATTATTAAAATCAGACGTTCCGTTCTCTTAAAAACAAAGTTTTTGGCACTTTTTAAGCAGCACGTCTCCTTATCAATACGAACTAAATGTTTTTTGAATTATTCAAATCGGTTGATCCATAGATAAAAGAAGAGTGGGTTGATCGGTGTTCACAAAATCGTCGCCGAAAATTTGTATCCGCACACACATACACATACATACATTTTTTCTAAGGTATGCCATAATGCTCAGAAACCTTTGAAACGTAAAGATATATAAAAAATTTCATTTTCGTTTTTATTGCGATTACTATAACTTTCCCTATGGGAAGTTAATATACGCTGTTATATTTTCATAAAAACTAGTAGTGCAGCACTGCATGGCAAATTTCTGGAACTGCCCGTACTGTATTTAAACATTCGAAGAATGAAAATAATTGATAATCAACACAAAATATTTAATAACAATTGTTTTAAATGCTTTTTATATTTTGAAGTAGGTTATTATCGACACTTCGTTCCCTCAATTTGCTCTTTTTGCTACGTATCTCCGTAACAAGTGGATCTGCTTTTGCCAAAAACTAATCAGCACGTCTCCCCATCAATACGAATCGGATGTTTTTTTTAATGATTCAAATTGGTTGATCCATGCTCTCGAAATTGTGTACGAACAATTGTATCCAAACATACATATATACAATATACACACACACATAAATAATTTTTTTTAAAGATATTCCAAAATGTTCAGAAGACCTTAAAACATTAAGATATGCTCGAAATTTTCATTTTTGATTTTTTTGCAATTACTATAACTTATTGTACAGGAAGTTAAGTAATAAATATGTTTATTGATTTTTTTTAAGAAGAAATACATATTAAATAAATGAAATAATATATCATCATAACAAATTGCTATTCACCACGAGAGATTTTATTTTCGCCCAGGAAATCTTATAACCTGAGCACTTTTCTATATGGTCTTCAAATTCTTATTTTCTTTATGCAAATAATCTGTTATTTACTATTGTTTGATTTTAGTGAAATGATCTTTATAAATTTATCTACGATTCTCAGCACTTGTGATGTTCTCTTCTAAATTTTGTGCTCATTTCATTGAAAGATCTACATTTTTATAAGCTTTTTGTATTTCATATTTTATTATGAGTTTTGTAAGTATTTCTAAGCAAAACACGATGCCACTACTGTTTGACATCAAGCTGCCCAAGGCAGTTATCAAACCTGGGACCCCAATTTAAATCTTATAGCTCCAACCATTAATCCTGATATTTATTGTTAAATGCAACTTGCAAAGAGTAAACCTGAGGTGGTCCTTTTAGCTCTTAATCATTACTAATGTGATTATTTAATACATAATCACAGTAATCAAACAGTTCCATGTGTATATTTAATGTCTTTTTTTTTTATTTAAAAGCACATTTAAAAAAACGTCTTACTTCATTTATAATAATTAAATGACAAGCATATTACAATATGTATGACACTATAATATAACATAAATTAACAGTCTTTTGCATAAAATACTGTACCATAATAAATAAAATTTTAACACTCAAATTCATTGGCTGTGATTGCATTTAGGTCTTTCATTAAGCCTTCCAAATTAGCCATTTCTTGATGCAATTCCTCAGTTGAGTGGCTCGGAGCCAGTCGTTGAACTTCATCTGATGAATGACAAACTGATGGTCCTACAAAAAAACAGAGTGAAAATTTTATATTTCTTTGAATTTTAATATCTAAATGAAAAAACTATTTATAATATATTGTGGAATAATAGAAACTGTACATACCTGCTTGCAGTCTATTAATCATTAAAGGTTTTTTATATGGTGATGCATTTTGTGGTCGATTAATACCTTGGGAAGCTAAAATAAAAAATAAATTGTTTTATATATAATTATTAATAATTAAATTATCATTATGTAAAATATATTTTAATATATATTATTATGTCGATAAACACGAACCATTATGCTTGGTGTTAGGAGTATTTGGAGTTGATGATGTGGGTGGTGCCGGAACACTGAAACTTTTTAATGGATGTCCCTGCGCTCTCTTAGGTTCTACTGGTGCATATGGTGATGAAGTTACTGGTGGTTGGCTGTAAAAGTAAAAATAAAAACCTTATTAAATATAATTACTCCATATTCACAATTTAATTTAAATGTCAATAATATGAAAATTTGCAACATATTCTTGGTATATATTTACAAAAATTGATTTTTATTAAGTTTATTTTTGAAGTCCCTAATTTAGTTACTAATATTTCTTTTTAATGTGTAGTTACCTATAATTAGAAGTTACTGTATCATAAACGTAAGGATTTTCTGGTGTTTGTGCAGAATTATTGTGAGGTAGATTGGATTTACAAGTTTCAATAGAATTTGGCAGTGATCCTACAGAAGATATGTTTTGCCCCGAAGTGAGTGAAGAGCCTCCATTACCAAGTCCCATTGAAGTCATATGTGGTACATTGGATGTGTGAGATAAACTAGGCACATTATTTTGATCTAATGTGACATGAGCTCTTGATATACTGTATTGAGTTCTAGGATAAGTAGGCCTTGTTGATGAAGACTCGGAGCTGCTAGTCACAGGAGTAGTAGCAACTGCAAATAAGTAAATTTTTCTATAAGTTTTTTGCTTCATTGGGCACAAATGTTTGATATAAACTGGAATTAATCATACCCATAAAACCAGGAACATAAGTTCTCTTATCCAATGAATTGCTCATATGTGGATGAGATGAAGGAGATTGATCATATTCATGACCCACAGATCTTGGCAAGGTCATAGCACCGGAACTGGAAGCACCGTCATTGCAACCTATAATAGTAACACAAAAAGAAAATTACTTTCATAAATAATATCAAGGACTGTATTCTGATAGGAGCATAAATTTTATTCATTTTTGAAAGACCATAAAAAATGTGTAACGATTCTTTCTCTTACATACCTGAATTATTAGAATGACCTTTTTCCAATGCCTTTAATTCCATTTGATCATGATGAATCCACAGGTCAGGAGGTTTTATATTGGAAGCATTATTTTTTTGATAGCTATATTAAAAGTAAGAATATAAATTAGAAGAAATACTTTATCAATGTGATTTTTCTCCGATTTAAATTTTATATTGCGAACCTTTTATTGTGTTCCATTTCATTAGGATCTGAATTTCTTCTACAGAATATAACCAAGAAAATAATTAAGCAAATAATTGCAAATACAGAACCTCCAATAATGCAATATAAAATTATGTTTCCTGATAATGTAGATTCACCCTCAACTGAAGTAAATAACAATAATTAAAAAAAAGTATATGATATATTTTAAAATTATTAAATACAATAATTACTTGGATCAGTAAAGTGCGCAATTGGAGATGAAAATGGACCATATCCTTTATCGTTCCTAGCTTTAACTTTGAAATAATATTTTGTATTTGGAGTTAATTGTTTTAATACAATAGTATGCTTGTCACCAACAACTGCTTCTGCTAACCAATCCCTATCATTGCGTAAATTATCAGGAGAATAGGAAATTACATATCCTAAAAATAACAACCACAATTTTAAAAAGTTATTTTGAAATATGAATATGAAAATAAGTTATTACCTGTAATAGGTCCATTAGAAACACGGGGTGGTTGCCATTGCAAAGTAACATAATTGTTATCTTTTGTGGGCAATAATACTGCTAAATCTCGGGGTGGTGTAGAAGGTGGGGCCTGCTGAGTTGTGTTTAATACTTCCATACTCCATGGGCTTTCTCTCTTGCCTTTGACAACTTTAACTGTGAACTCATATTGAGTATTAGGCCTTAAGTCATCGATCATCAAGTTCAGTTCAGTGGAGTTATGGTAACGGTATTTAGGACTCCCAGTAGTAGTGAAGCGTACTGTGTAATGCCTTTTATCTGTTACATACTGTAAAACAATGTCTTACCGTTACATAAAGTTTCTTTCATTCCTTCATATAACTATTTTTATATGACATACCTGACTTTTACTTAAAGTGGTATCTGTCCAATATACAACCACTGCATTACTAGAGAGCACAACAGCTTTCAATCCAACTGGAGGAACTAAAGGACTTGATGTTTCTAATGGGGCTTCTTCCCTAGTTCTAACATTGCTGTAAACAGGTGGACCATCACCAACCTCATTTCTTGCCTTTAAGCTTATAACATATTCGCAATTAGGTTCTGAAAATAAATATAATATAATTAAAAATATTATTTTCAATTTAAACATTCAAATATTTTACCAAAATAGCTAAATCTCGATTCTTATTAATTAGGTTGATTATATATATGTATCAGAAAGTTCATGAAACTTGCTTTAAAGCAAAATGTTACTTTTAACTAGTTTATTCTTTAATTTCTGTATTATACATACCTAAATTTTTTATAACATAATATCGAGCATTGTCATCAAGAACTTGTGTGAAAACATCCGGAATACCATTACCCCAGCCTAGAATGTAACTGCGAACTTTTATATATTGATCTCTGGGCGGATTCCATGAGACTGTTATTGAATCTGATGCTGGTCGTACTAAATAAAATGGATAAAATTATTGATGCAGAAATATTTAAAATAATTGATAATATAAAAAAAATAATCCATTAAATTATTGTTGAAAAGGATTGTAAATTAATTTACCTTTTAAAGGGCTAGGTTCACCAGGAACACTAGATTCATCTAAATCGTTTTCATATGTCTCAACGTGATGCCATTCAGTATAAGGCCCTGAGCCATTTACATTGAGAGCACATAGTTTAATCTGAAAAGAATTATAATATATGTATCATACTGTATTTGACTAAGGTAAGATTAATTTGTTGTACCTGATATCCAGTCATCTTGTCTAAATTATTTATTACATAAAATCTTACATTGGCAGGAGTGGAAGAAGTTTCACTCTTCTTCTTATTAAATTTTCTGTACTTAATTTTATAACCTGTTATAATACCATTATGGTCAGAAGCTGGAGGGGGTTCCCAATGCACAGTTATCGACTGAATGAATTAAACATGAACAAATGAGAAAACTGAGTGATTCAAAATTCAATTATTAGCAGTACACCACACTTACTGTGCTTGTAGGTTCTAAAGTCACATTGGAAGGAGGTTCAGTAGGAATATCACTGTAAGTTCGAACTGTTAGCTCACTTGATGATGTTCCAATACCATGATTATTGACTGCTACTACGTATATATTGTAAGTAGTATATGGTAACAAATTTACGAGTTCTGTAGTTAAGTCAACTGAATCTTGAGAAGATTCCTCTGTACTGTCAGCCTACAATTGTATACACATATAAATAATTATTGGCATACATATAAATATTCACACACACACACATGTATATGTATACATCATAGTTTTACCTCCATATAATAAACTTTGTATTTTAATATATCTCCATTGGTTACAGTAGGTTGTTGCCAGGACACTTTAATTTTAGTTGGGCTTAAAGGTTCGGCTTTAACAAAAACTGGTGGACCAGAAACATCTTCTTCTGCTTGAGTTGTTACTGCCAAAATCTACAAAAGTTGTTATTTATACCTATTTATCATTGTGAATTTTGATTTCAGTAATAGTACCTGTGAACTGATACCAGGCCCTCTTGAATTGTTAGCTACTACTCTGAACATATATACTTTTGCAGGCTGTAAATGAGCAACCACCATTTCTTCAACTTTTGATTTTGTTGGAAGTACTCGTTCTCTGAATTATATATGTATATTAATAACAATGTGTGTACCATACAAAAATTCAAATATTATATTATATGATATAAAAACAATTATATATAAATGTTCAAACTAAACACATTCATTTCATCATGCTTTTGGTGATATAATTATGATCTAACCTTTGACTTCCTTGTAGTCTATAATACACCGAATAGCCTAGAATGTTTCCATTTGTTTCTTCTGGCTCACTCCATTTTAAAGTAACAAACCTAGTCTTAACAATATAAGCTACCAAATCTCTTGGAGGTCCAGGCAAACCATTTTCATTTCCAGATATGATTGGAGTGTGATTAATGTCTCCATATGTATGACCATCTACATTGGATAAGGACTCATTTGTGAGATAGGGATTTAGGGTTTCATCTAGATCCAGATCATTAAATGGGGAAATGGAATGGTTTATGATCTCACCAAACAGACTACTATTCTCATTACTCAAAGTAACATTTTTATTCTTTGGAATATTCAATAATAAATTATCTATGTTTGAATCATCATCATATTCATCTCCCGATTTATCATCATCTGATTTTAAAGAATTCAGTACATTGCGAGTGTTCAATGCTAATGAATTGCTAGATTTTAAACTATTTAATATGGAATGTGCATTGGGAATTTTTTCAGTATTTTTCTGTCTAATTCGATCATGTGCATTATGTAATGGAAATGATTTCATGGAATCTAGATTATGCATGTTAGTATGAATACAAAATTAATAGGCCAATGGGTAAAAGGATGAAAAGAAAAAAATAAATAAATAAATAAATAAAAAAACTATATTACATATAAAAAATAAATAAAATAATAAAAACTTAAATAGCAAAAACTAATAATTTATAGTGTACTAATGTACAAATAATATGTTAAATTATAAAAAAGTAGGAGAGTTTATAGCAGAATGTTTTATATTTTAAATATTTATAAAAATATAAATTACGTACTTGGGCCCAAAATGCTTAGTCTAGCTGATCCTTGAACACTCCCTGTAGGATTAGTACCAATGCACTGAAATATTCCAGCATCTGTGCCCATCAATCCCAAAATTTTTAAATTGTTGCTACAAAATATCAATATTGAGTACATTATTTTTTAAATCAAAAAGGCTTCTGCTTATAATAATATAATTACTCTTTTACTATCTGCATATAATCATTTGGTTTTATAGTTTCGCCATTTTTTAACCATTGTACTTTTGGTTGTGGTATTCCATAGATTGCACATTCGAGTTCTATGTCCTCTTTCTCAATAGCAATTTTATCTGATGGAACTATTGTGAATCTAGGTGGAACCTAAAATAATATGAGAATAATTATTCAAATTTATTCCGTTGATAGTTCAAATGAATTTCAAAATGCAAAATTTACTACCTGAACATTTAAATTGGCAGTTGCATCTAGTGAATCTTCATTATTTTGTGCACGACATTGATATACTGTTGAATCGCTTTCTCTAATGTTGGATATTTGTAAACTACCAGTACCTATAATACGAAATCTACTATCCAGGTCACTGAAAAAATATATATATCAATATATTAATTAATATTATTGAAAAGTTAATAACACTCTTAAATGTGGCTTCCAAAACTAATTGATATTTGATGCAATGAAACTAACTTTAGGTCAATAGCCTCTCCATTTTTTAACCAAGTTATACTTGGTTTGGGATTCCCATTAGCTGCGCAGTCAAAAGTTGTGCTATCACCCTCAATTACTATTTGAGTTTGAGGCAAGGCAATGAATACCGGTGCTGCTATTGAATCATCATATCTCTCTACTTCTAGTATAGCTTTATGACTTAATCTAAAAAATAAATATAAAATAATAATCAATAATGTAATAATAAGAAAAGTATTCAACTGTCAATATTTACCTATATTGATTGTTATCAGTAACATTACACCTGTATGATCCTTTATCAGAAGGAACAATGTCATCAATTTCTAAAGCACCTGAAGGTAAAATAGTCATGCGAACACTGTCCAACTTGATTGGTCTTTCATCTTTTAGCCAGACATAGGTATATTTGATCTTCCTATCTACAGGTACAATAAGGCAAGTGAAGAATGCGGTCTGACCAACAGGCACAGATTGATCGATGGGATGTAACTCAATAGCTGGAAAGGCTGAGGAACAAGTAATTATTATCGAGCTATTAATTTGTACTTTGCATTAAATTAAAAAAAATATTTATTTGTAATGCTTACAGGCAATACTAAGTTTTGCTGCATGACTGACAATAGTTCCAATCGGTTCCACTGTTGCCATACATTGGTAATTCCCGGTTAAGCCCTGATGATCTACAACTGCGTTGAAATATAAGGATCCATTTGAGAGTTGAGATCTATGAAAAATGTATTGGGCATCATTATCAATTTTAACTTAAATATATACATGTACATATAAAATATGTTGACAATTAAAAAATCATATTCATATCACAAAATTATTTTAGGAACATTTTTTAATTTTTGAGGTGAATCAAATGTGTATATAATTTAAAATCTTTCAATGATATTAACATCTTTATATTTTTAAATAAATATAACAAGATGACAATTCATTTAATAATAATAAGAGTATTATTCATAGTATTAGCAACCTATATGTCTCTCCAATAAAATTAAGATCTTGTCCATCTGGGCCACGCCATCGAATTTCTATACCAGCAGATGGAGCACTGGGATTTTTGGCAGCACAGTTTAGAATTGCAGGCTTTCCACTTTGAACTATAGTATCCTCAGGTTCTTGTGTAAACTCAAGTGTATGTACTAAAAGACAAACATAAAACAATTAGCAAACATAATTTGTTATATGTTAAATAAATGTTTCACTAAAAAATAAATTTAAATACATACAATGGATTTAAAGACAAACCAGTTAAATAACGATGTTTGCATGATTCTAAGAATAGTTATTGTAGATAAATGCTAATATGCTACACAAAACCACCATTACCATTTCATATATTTCTGTGATAGTTGCGCTTTTTTCTTATAGCCAACAATTTTAAATGTGTGTTAGAAATACATGGAATCGTCATTCAAAGATTAGACAATTTGTTGGAAATTAATAAAAGCTAAGATCGTTTGTTTTTTTATTTTGTGATTTTTGAGAAATAAGTAATCACAAACGTTATTAGAAATTATAACATTAATAATGATAGATTATAGATATATTTATATAAAAGTTTTGCTACTGAGAGTGACGAGCTACGTTAATGAGTAAGATAATAAAATATATTGATCATGTTTATTGATTGTAAAATGTTTATAGAATCTGTTACATGTATACATAAATATCAGAGTATAAATAAATTACTTACATACTTAAAAAAATAAAGTTGTTTATATGTTGTACAAAAGCACTAAAATTGCTGTATAAAGTAACGGAGTTAGTCAAATTAATTAAATATAAACTAATAAGAAATGCAAATTATTTCTAACTTGGATAATTATGATTTTTTTCTAATCAATTTTTCATAACGAGTATATATGTATGTCTATCTGTATGTAAGTAGATGTGTATGTATGTGTATATGTATATATATATATATATATATATATATATGTGTATATATATGTGTGTATATGTATATAGATATAAATATACAAGTTATGTATTAGCAAACAATATTTTAAAACTGTATAAAGCCGATTGGCGTATAAATAAATAAATAAATAAATAACAACAGATTTGTCAAATATCAGTGACACAATTTTCAAAACTTCGTTAGTTTAAGTATGATTAATTTTTAATCTCTATTACCTAATTTGTACAATATAATTCTATATTAATGTTAAGGGCTATAATCTACCTACTATAGTGAAAAATAACTAAAAAATACTATATTGAACATATAGAATGTTGTTACTATAGATTATAAAATATATCCTAAATAATTGTTTAAAATAAAATAAATGTGCTAAAAATTGCAGTGAAATTAACTGGTGTATCCTAATTAAACTTCATAATGATTTTTCAAAGATTTTCATTAGCATAAGGGTGGAGTGTAATAACGCATATAAATCTGAATTAAAGTAAGCATAATATTTATTAATTAAACGGATTTCATGAAACCCTTCTGAATTTTTCAAATAATATTAAATTTCAATCATTATACCTTTGACAGTAAGAAATAGTAACAATGTTAGAACAATAGCATGTTTGACAGATAAAATCATCTTTCTAGTCCGAATCATTTCACATATTGAACACAACGCACTGTCAAATTATTCATCAACCAATCTCAACATATTTAACACAGTTTTTACGAAGCTTCATATGCATTTTAAATTCGGCATAACAAATCACAATCAAAACATACAATCAACCATTTTGTTTCTTTACGTTTATCAATAATATTGTCATCCATGGCAATAGTCTTGCCTCACCATGAATTTGAGCACTGCAGGCCGCGCGGTCTGGCGACGAATTTAAAAATGTTCTCCACTTGAACGAATTATCTGATAATATTATTGTGCGCTTTAATTCAAATGTAAATAATTAAATAAATATTTATTAATCTGTATGTAAAGCAATAAACATAAATTACATACTTATATAGAACAACAGACGCTTGATTAATCTACTTGGTATTGGTATTTTGCCTTGAGGCAAGTTACATGAACTTCCCGATATGTGTAAATAATAGATTTAATCAATAAAAAATAAATTAATTTATGAGTGATTAAAAGTGTTCCAATTTATTGCACATAATTGAAAACGAACGAACACATTAACTCGGAGTATTTTCTGAAAGCAAATTTTTACAAATCACTAATTTTTATAATTGAATCAGTATGTTCATTAAGACCAAGTACTCTATCGTTACACCAAGTAAATCGTCTAATTTTAATTTTAACATACTCATTTTCTCAAGCTTGGATAAATTTTTAAAATTAAACTGCTTGTTGTAAGGCCGTAATAATTCAGTAAGTTCTGTAAGGCCATGATATATAACGCCAAAAAAAGTTCCATAAAAATCGTCTTAATTTTTTTTCAACAGTTAATTACAAGAAAACGGCTCGGTAGATTTTCATATAAAACTAATCAGTATCATTCCAAACCAATATCCTTCGAACAGTTTTTGATTTTTTTAAATCGATTCGGTAGTATGAGCTTAAATGTGGACGAAAAGTTTAACACTTTTTTCCAAATTACAAAGAAACGGCTCGACCGACCGTCGCACAAAACTGAGAAATGATAATCCTCATCGAGATACATTTAAATTTATGAAATCGGTTCAGACGTTTTTGATCAAACGTCGATGGAAGGTCTAATTTTGACAAATGTCAAAAAACAATACTAATTTTTGCAAACTTTGACGAATTTTTACAGTTAAACGAGTTGTCGTAGGACCGTAATAATTTAGTATGATCTATAAGACTATGGTATCTACCGTCAAAAAAATAATTATAAAAATTGTCGAAATTTTTTAAACACTTATTTTTTTAAACGATCTCTACAAAAAACTAATCAGCACGATTTCTCAACAAATAACTTTCGAACGGTTTTTGAATTTTTAAAATCGATTTTCGGCAAAAAATCTGTTCACACACACACACATACTTTTTCCAAATTTGGTCTTATTCGATTCAGAATGGTTTGAAACGTCGAGAAAACATAAAATTAGCGAATCATATTTTTTGACGAAAACAAACTTCTCCTTCGGGAATTTAATGATTAATAGTAACACAAAATTTCGACTAGAAAACTATGACTTTTGGAGTAAATTTATATACAAGTACAAAATTAATGAGTATAATAAATAATTACAAACAACAACAAAATTATAAAATGTAACAAAGTATTTTTAAAAAAGTTTTTTCTGTTTTATATTTTAAATGTATGATTTTTTTTGCCAAAACCGAGTAGGGTTTGAAGAAAATCAGATTTGAAAAAAGTGTCGAGACATGAGACATATGATATCAATGGTAAACAGGGCAGTATTGAATCAGAAAAAAAATAGTCAGGCTAAGTTTGAATAACTTAATGTTTAAATAATTGCGAACGGGGTCGCGAATTCGAACTGCGCTCTGGACAACCTGACATCGTGCAGAAGCAATGTCCATTACACTATAGATAAAAAATATGGTAGCAATTGACAATAGTCCATTCCGGGTACTGTAGTATACAATGCCAATGGGAAAACTCTCACAATATTCTTCCTTGAATCGAATTGGAGTTTAACTCTGCTCACGGACCCTGCCCTAGGGCAGTAAGGTGGCCCTAACATGGCCATTGTCGAATTTCCCTGCTCGCAAGGGCTCAAATGGTTCCAAATTCATAAAAAACAATTTTCTGAAAGCTTTGGTTCTTAACATTAGCTTTTAGATAGTGCGCAATTCAATCAAACTTCGTATGGAAATAGCATGGAAAAACGTTGAAAATTGAAAAAAAAATTTTTTAGGTATAACTTAGAGACTAATAAATTAAAAGTGAAAATTCGTGTCATTCTTTATTGAAAATTCGACGCTCTGCAAAATTTTTGAAAATTTTTTCATGCTATTTCCATACAAAACTTTGATTGAATTGCGCTCTATCTAAAAGACAATATTAAGAGCTAAACCTTTTAGAGAATTGTTTTTTATCAATTTGGAACCATTTGAGCCCTTGGGAGCAAGAAAATTCGAAAATGTCCATATTAAGGACCACGCAATAGGGCAGTATGTATTACTGCAATATTTAGAACTGTATTAAATTATTTTTCTTTATGGAATGGTATATAATAGTGATAATCATTATTTTTCGTTTCATTGTACAACATTAGTTAACTTTAAGCAATAAGACCTCAGTAGAAAGGGTATTCTAAGTTTTATTCGATTTTAAAAGAAATGTTTTTTCTCTTCAAAATTATATTTATTTTAATGTTCTCAAGGATTAATATATTTTTTTCTTCTACGGGATGCCTCAACATCTGTCATCTACACTTCTACAGTTAGAATGGTCCAGATATTTGAAAGAAATCTCTCACTACTTCTAAATAGAGTGCTCTAAAATGTGATGATTGTGGCACATAAATTCAGTAAGACTTTCGAAAAATATGTAAATATAAGTAAGTTTTAGTAATTTGTAATTTTAACACGTATGGGACATTTACTTGGTTGAGCCATTTACATATTTGGGCGAAAAGCTTCACGAACGCGCGTAACGAATGTGGTATTTTATGCGTTCCATATGCATATGGGACAATATGCAATTTGTACGCTAGTTCGCGTGGTACGCGATTTGAAATGCCATTAAATAACTACGTAATGCATTAACTGATATATCGACAATGTGTCATAACGCACGCATTCCTGGACCAAAAAGATAAATATAAATATTACCTACTAAAGTGTATTAGAATCGACAGAAATATATATAAAACTTAAGGTATCCTGTGGTGCATCAGATCGTAACACAAAGTTTGATTATTGAAATTAAGAATAAAATTATTTGTCTCATTTACATATTTTTATATTTTTTACAGTCTGATATATCCATTAAAAAACAAAAAACCCCGAGCGTAATGCGAAACAGCATTACTAAACGAGGCTATCTTTACATGGAAATATTGGGTTAGGGAAAGATAGTTAGAAAATTGGTTAGGCATTAAATTTAAAAAGTATGTTTTTTAATAAAAGTAAAACCTAACATTAATTTCTTAAAGCCCAAATTAATACCACATCATTATTCCTTGCAAAAATAAAAACCAAATATAAATAACAGAAAAATTATTGAAAAACATATATAATTATAAGTCGTTCATATTTAGTTAGCCTTCTGTGTTTTCAGTGTTCTGCCTCTTTGTGACAAAAGCATCTAATATGTTATTTTACTTTTTCTTTTGTGTGGTTCTCTTAAATGTTCTTCAAAAATGGATAGAGCACCTCCAATACCACGCCTTGCTTTCGAGCTCCTGTTAAAATTCGGTTCATTTTCAATGAATTGATCCATTATTTCAGTTATCAATCAAACAAACTCCTTTTTACAAACGCAATCGAAAGTTTTTTTGTTCTTCCTTCGAGTCACTGCCGTCAACATTTTTGTTTTCTTCTTGTTTAGTTAATTCCTTGAGCTCATTATTAGAAAGATGCGCTGCTTTTTGAATTATTTCTTCAACATCTTCCACATTTATCCCTTCAAAACCTGGGTTGAAAACAAGAGCGCTAAATCGAAACAGCGCTAAACGGTATAGCGTTAAGCGAGGTATTACTGTGATTCACCTTCATCTTCATTTATTCCATAATTTAATTCCATAAATTTTTTACAATGATTTAGATTTGATATCCTTATTTTATATTGGACAAGACAAGACACTTATGATGTCGCAGATACAGGTATGGTTGTTAATATTTTGGCATGACGTAAAAAATATTACAATCCAGAATTTTTTTAGAGCAAGAAGTCTTATTTTTTATCAAATGTATATTATAATATTATGCAATTACTTTTTCGTTAATGTCTGCTTTTGGGTTCTGCAAGTTTTGAAAACTTGACACGCAGTTCAAGATACTTACGCATTAACAACAATTTAATGATTTCAAGTGTTTTCATCGTGTTTTGATCGATCTTGATAAGTAGAAAACTATTTATATATTTTTGAACCAACTTGCGAAAGACTTACTTTCTTGAATCATCCCCAGAAGACTCAAAAGAACAACCCCTACAGAGTTGGCTAATTAAATATGTAATGTAGACTTATTATGACTTTTCTGTATCTTCATCTCATTTATTTTCAAACTTAAAATGATTGCCACTACGTAGTATTGAAAAATCTTATATCTACACATTTGTCACCAAAATTACTGAATGTCTTACCAAGCAAGATTGAAAAAAAAATATTTTTTTATATATTACATTGAACTTTTGATCATTGCTTTATATCAAGAATATAAATTGCAAGTAGTCCCTATAATCTTCATATGAGATTTTAGTTAGAGGAGCTTAGTTTATTTAGAGGATTTTTACACGCACCACATCTAAGCGATTGGTAAAGAGTTGTATCTCATCTTAAAATCTCTGAATTTGTAAACAAATCTGTAGGTATAATACTTATTAGTAATTATTAATCGTCCTCAATTAATATTTTAATTAACGTCTACAAAATCGTAAGGTGAAATTGAAAATTACATTTTCTATACATTTAATAGTTCGAGAACAATTTGTTTTATAAATAAGAATAATTCTGAATGAAAATTGTTATAATTAATAGTTAATTCTACGTAATTAAAATAGTCATTAGAAAAACGCGGAATTTGGCTCGGTGGCATTAGTAACGTAGTAAAGCTCTAGTCTCTGCCAAAATAGGAAAAATGATGTCGCTGCGAAAATCAAGAAAACATTATTTTTTTATTGTTATTCAGCAATCAAAAATATATAATTCTATAAATTAAAAGTATAAATAATAAAGAGTAAAAGA